GACTACCGATTCTTTAAATGAACAATTACCGATGCTACCATTTCTACTATTTTATGCTCAAAACATCACAATAGTCTAATAATCTATTAGAAGTTAATAGTTTTTACCGTGGAATTTAAATTTATTTAAAATGAATCATAGTTATATGGAAAGTAGTATCTTAACAATTTCGAAATACACACATTACAATATTTATTTAAACAAAGTTATTGAAGGTAAGCAATCTAAACGAATTCGTACAACACAATAAGCAAACATGATACTCTTCGAATGTGAGTTACAAAGCGTTATTGGAAAACCACTTCATAAGCATCTTTAAACATTCTTGGTTTATAATCTGTAGCTGTGTGACCTCCTCCCTTTAACAATAGAAATTTATACACCTTCATGATGATCATAAAATAAAAAGCTTCTTTTGTCTCATAAAAATAGCAAACTTTCTTTTGTTTTCGTAATGTTTATGAGTACGTCATCCACATCAAGAAGATATTGAAATGTAAAGTTCACACTTATTGCTATATTGAAAAAACAGTCAACCTCTTTAAAAATCCATATATTACCATTTTCACGAGACAATAGCACAATGTGGTAGATAAGTTATAATTGAAGGAAGATTTCACACCTTTACAGTAGCAAATGTTAAGTTGTAGTCATTATGTGAATATTTCATAGTGTAGCTGCAAGAGAATAAGATAAAAAAATATATATATTTAAAAGATTAGTAACTAATTATAGAATTTAATATGATGACAATTAATCTTCTCTTTCCTAATGAAAACACAACTAACCCGGCTACTTGTTCGTCAACAAACCAGGGTCCCCAACCATTCTTGACTAACAAATTTAGTGAGTTAATCCAATTTAATGTACTCAAATAGGAAACAATCATGTCTTGATCTCCACTGCACGATCAGAGAAATAAAAAAAAAATCCATAATGTAAAGGATATTTTTTTGATTTCAAGTTCTATAAATACCATGTGCATTCATGAATAATGTCGATCAATAGTAGCTATAGTTACTTACACAAATAGTAACTAAATCTGAGATATGTGACAAAGACTTATAAAAATTAAGAAAGATAATGAATAAAAGTAATAACCTATATACAAGAGCTCGACAGTTTTTATTAGCAAGGTGTCGATGATAGGCAACAGTACTCCATATATTGTGTGTGTATGAAATGGGTTCTTGGTTATAAAAAAATTGCAGGCTTCCATTGCATAGCACCCACTCAGTTTCATTAAATACCTGGTGTTTATGAGGTCATAAGATAATTATCCTAGATAATCAGGATGAACATGAAGATAGCCGACTATGAATCGAACTACAAACCTCACGGATGTGAAGTGCCTCTCGCACGTCTCTTCTATTAGCCCATACATATGGGTACATATGTATGTCATCCTGTGACAAGTATATATATAAAAGATAAATATCTTAAAAATCTTAATATAAAACATATAGATTTTCTTTTTAGAGTATATTAAATAATGATCAAGTTTGATATACTTATTTTTTTTTTGGAAATAATAAATCTCTAAAATTACAAAAAAATAAAAACAGTTTATTTAACAAAAGTGAAACTTGATTATCGTTAAATAATAATGATTATTAAAATATATAAAAATTGATAAAACATCTTGAAAGTCTAAAAAATACATTTCTTATACAGAAGTTTTGTGTTATTATTAGTATGATTTATTTTGTTTTATATTTTAAATTTTGAGATCTTATATATATATATATATATATATATATATATATATATATATATATATATAATGTATTCATTTTTTTTTTAGTGTCAGGTCGTTTATATATAATTGACCTCAAACGGTGATTATGTTATTTAGTTTGAATTCTGGATGACACTTTATTATTAATATATAATATTTGTTGTGAGTTGTGACGGCTAATTTATATTTAGTTCATATATAATTTGTCAATATTTTTATCATACACCCAATTTAGATGTGTACACCTACTAAATATAAACCTGGTTCCATCGCCTACTTAGTTGATACCTACATATCATAAATGATTAGTTTCTTTGCATATAATGTTAAGTTTAATCGTGGTATTGGTTGGTAAATATATTTTGTAACGTCCGCAGATTCGGGTTAATCAATTTAGAGATAATAAGTGTTAAAATGACTTTTTGATAGAATATTATTTAGAATAAATAATCATAAACAAAATATAGTATATGTCACAACGATTCCGTACATATAATGAACGTTGAAATCCGACTTATAACGATGAAGTTATGACCCGTCGAAGTTTTGCGACAAAATCGGCACGGCTCCGCGTATCGTTAAAAGTAAATTTTTGACAAAATACATTTTATCCTTAGCGATCTAAACGAAAGTCGTATTATATGTTAAACCAAGAGCGTGCATATAGAGAACGTCCAAATCTGACTTTATTTGAGGAAGTTATTAATTTTTCTAAGATTTTGCATTGCAGTATACAACCCGGAAATCGAATTTTAGATCAATCGATTTTTAGCCGACACAGCCTAAACAAGAATCGAAGATCTCGTTAGTAGGAGCTCAACGATATAAAGAAAGTCAAAAACGGACTTCGGATGACAAAGTTATGAATTTTTAACGGACTTTAACTGTCTAAGCCTGATAAAATATAACTTTAAAAATAAATTCAAAATTAGCCGACGGAGTCTAAATGAAAATTGTAGATCCCGTCGATACCTACGCGTGGATATAAAGAACGTCAAAAATGGAGTTTGCATACGAACGTTACGGATTTTAGAAGATAATTAGTTTTTGGAGTAACCAGCGAGTGACACGTGGCACCATCACAACCACACCTTCTTCCTCACGGCTTCGCACGAGATCGCGACGCCTTGATTTCAACACTCCGTGTTGCACAATTTCACAATCTATAAATAGAGGCGCAAAACACTCCATTTCTCACACCATTCTAACCCATTCTCTCTCAAACCTCCCCAAACCCTCAAGGCTTTTCCCTAGCATCTCCCAGGTGCTAGAAGCGAATAAGCTTTATGCATACAGTTTTGCGGTTTATCATTTCCAGTTCTTAAAGGAAGGGTCCGGCTTGACTGCACAGCATCCCCCTATGATTTTCTGCATTGATGACTATTGATTTACACTGATGATTGTGTTACATTTTGCTATTATTGATTTTAGAACATACATTGTGTGGATTTGATGGTTCGAAAAATGAAAATTTTTATTAGTATTTTTGGGATGTTACAAAAATGAAATTAGAATCTTTTGCTTAGAACTATCTCGTTTTAAAAGGTTTTATACTTAAGCTTAGGTACATAACAATCATATATTCACTTTTCTATATATATAT